TTCACGCGCAGAGACTCGAGGCACACTGAATAGCTACGTGATGTAGATCCTTTGGCAATTGCCTAGGCCACTTAAGGGAAAGGGAAATGAGTGATGGATTGAAAGGAGAGAAATAAGAAAAAAGTACCAGTAAAAAAGGAAATAAAGGCAAGACAGTACCAGCAAGAAAGGAACTAAAGGAAAGGAAAAAATTCAAGCAATAAAAGAAGTAAAAGCAAAAAAAAGCAAGCGGAAAACTCGTAATAAACAGGGGACATTCCCACTCATAAAGCTGACGCTTAGGTAAAGAAGGCTGGAAGCTAATAAGATAAAACTGATGCCAAGGTAAAGCTGCGAGCACTAGCTTTGCCTAAGCATCAGCAGTTCGATCCCTCAGTCCTACCTAAGCACTAGCAATTTAATCCCTGAGTTTTACCCAAGCATCAACTTCATAAATACGGAAGCTTTACCTAAGCACCAGCAGTTTGATCCCTGAGCTTTACCTAAGCATCAGCTTCGTACGAAAGGTTCCACTAAGCGTCAGCTTCATAAGGAAGCTTTATCAGCAAAGGGCTTTCCGATTTATGAAGCTGATGCTCAGGTAAAGCTTCCGTGTTTATGAAGCTGATGCTTAGGTAAAGCCCAGGGATCTATTTTCTGATGCTTAGGTGAAGCTGAGAGCTCACTGCTTCACCTAAGCATCAGTTTCACCTTTTTGGCTTTCAACTTTCTCCACCTAAGCATCAGCCTTATGAGTGGGAACGTTCCCTATGTATGGCGGGTTTTCCGCTTTCTTTTCTTGCTTTTATTTTCTTTATTGCTAGTACTTTTTTTCTTTCTTTTACTTTTTTTTTTTTTGCCGGTACTTCTTGCTTTTATTTTCTTTCTTACTGGTACTTTTTTTTTGTTTTTCTCCTTTCAGGCCATCACTCTTTTCCTTCTCTCTTAAGTGGCCTAGGCAAATGCCAAAGGTTCTACATCACGCAGCTATTCAGTGTATTCACCCGACCCGTCCCCCCTGACTCAAATCTCTGCGCGTGAAACCCGCGCATACCACCCTCCCCCCTCCCCTGCGTCTCGAATCCAACATCTAAAACTGTGCCTATGCATTGCCAATCCTCTTTCCCTCCCCCCTCTTTTCTTACGCTCTCAGCAGTATATTCCCCTCCCAAGCCACTTTTCATCAAAAAATTCATGTACCAACACGTGGAATGCAAATGCACGTGAAAGCTGAATTTCAAGCCTTCGACGACAAACGTCGTTAAAAAATTTTTACCTTTTAGTCCCCCGGTTTCCGAGCAACTTTCGCGCCAAAACTTTCATGCGGCCGTATGTGAGACCTCGCCATACTTGGGAGCTGAGTTTGAGTTTGTTAGGCATCTGCATAAGCAAATAATTGGCCCGTGCACGGGCTGCCCATGCGAAGATGCGTTTTTTGCATAGCTCCCCGCCGATTTTTGTCCCTAATGGCACTGGTTTTTGCGGCAGATGCTTCTAGCTAAAAGAATTTCAGAAAGGCCGCCAGGACTGTCAGGAAAAATCCCTTCAAAATTCTAGTCTTCTAGCTTCTCACGTTCCCAAGTTAGCAACTTACCCGAAAAAAATTTTCATGGGCCCGTACGTAGGTACTACGCTCACGTGGGCTGGGTTTGAGCTCATTAATGCTCACTTGGACGGGGAACATCACCCTAAGATTTCGGCTTTCTTGCTTCTCAGATCCTCGAGTTATGAACTTACCTGAAAAAAACTTTGGCGGGCCCGTACGTTGGTACCACATCTTAAGGGGATGTTCCCCGTCCAGATGGGCACTAATGATTATGAGCTCATTAGTGCCCATCTGGACAGGGAACATCCCCTTAAGATTTCAGCTTTCTAGCATCTTAGATCCCCGAGTTATGAACTTCTCCGTAAAAAACTTTGGCGAGCCCGTATGCGGGTGCCACGCGAGTAATGGCACCCAATTTGGGGATTGTGGCCCATACGTGCATGTAGATTAAGTTCCCAAAGTTTCAGCCCTGCAGCTTTTATAGGTCTTGAGATGAAAAATCGAGACAGACGCACAAACAGACATACAAACAATCCCCCGTCAATATGCGTTTTTGCATTTCACAGCCGCAAAAAACGCATAAAAACATTCTTACGAAATTTCAACCCTACCAGTCCTTCCCCCTCCCGGGATAACTTTTCCCGCCGAGGCTTTCATGGGACCACATGCGGGACTCAGGCTTACGAGGAAGCTGAACCTGAATTTGCGGGACGTAAGCAGGCAGGGAACATAACACTAAAGTTTCGGCTCCCCCACTTCACTGGTTGACTTTCGCGGGGTCGTACGCGGTACCCGGAGATACGTGATGATTGTTCAAGTTTGCGGAGTCGCACGTGCAGGGGAAACATACCACTAAAATTTCAGCTTTGAAGCTTCTCTGGCTCCCAAGTCGAAACTACCGGATAAAATGCAAGGTCTCGACGATACGCTTTAGTTTTATACAGTCAGGCGGAGAAGATGAGAGTACAGGATGCTAAGGGATTAAAAAGTTAGGACGAGGTTGTGAGATACATACTTCAACAGTTGTTATCCTTAACGAAGCAATGAAAGTAAGCACTCACTATCCTCCTCTGCACGTTTCTTCTCCAGTTCAGTTTCCAGTTCCTTTTCATTCATGTCATTTAGAGGATCCAAAACCACCACCTGAAAACACCGAGATTCGTAGTTTTGGACATACCGATTCGACTGCTACATTATAAAAATGAGACACGCCAATGTATGAGAAAATGAAGGAAGTGTGAAGCAACGGGAATGCGTTTCTCTGTTCGTACAAAAGGAACGGTAATGAAGCTTTTACTTTTCAAAAAGAAGTAGATTTTATAAGGGGATAAGGAAGACGGTAAAATTAGTGGCGTAAAAAAGAATCAGTTTTTCAAAACACAAACTCAGAGTTCGATTGTTAGTAACATATGTTTCGATGTGAACTGCCCAAAAATGAAATATTTCAGTCAGCAGTAATTCATGGTTTAGTTCTACAACTGCTGTATTGCTTGGCAGTCAGCGTACTGATAACCTGACATAAGTTTTGTCACCAGAAGAGATTTTTTCAAGCTCAAGGGTTCTTCTTAAAGCGCCACTTGGCATGACATTCATCGCTTCACGACGCCCGTCGATTATAACCCTTGAGCATGCCCGAATTTCCCTTAAAAATCGCTTCTGCGCTTAACAAAATTATGCGTTCTCATCAAATGACTGTTTCCTATTTGATTTGTTCATTACATTTTAATTTTTAGCATATGTATGCAAAGAAAATAGCATCAAACTAAATTAGAAAGTAAGCTTCCAAGGATAGCAGCGTTTAACAGTGCTACTTGGTTTCGTATTCCATCTTGCCGTCCAATAAGAAGTGTGCCGAGTATCTAAGCTAAAACTCATACGCTGTTTCTGCGATAATTTTTGTAGTGACTGAGTAATTTGCGATGATTTGTGTCAAAAACTACCAATCCCAGCAATAAATTATACCTTCTTAGCACTAACATATGATTTTTTCTGGTAGAATCCACGGAAAACCATGCAAACTACGAATTAACAGTTGCCGGATGTTCTGATGGCAAGTGCGATAC